AATTATTTTTTTATTATTCGTCTATATATTATAGTTAGGGTTTGTTTGGGGTGGTAGTGCGGTACCGCACCACAATTTTGTCTGCTTGCGTAAACTGCTTCTTGACGGTGTTTTCAAAAAATTGCTGTTAAAATCTGTGTTTTCCTACCTGTTCTGACTAGGTGCAGTGGTAGCTTTCTAGCTGCGATCTGACTTTTTTTTTTAAAAAAAAAATTGTAACAGCCACCACAACTTTTTGAATACAGATTAAAGTTTCAGGAGCTTCACAACATATTTTAATAAGTTACAGCTGCCGTAAGGAGACTCTTAATTTTAAATAAGTTCCAAAATTTTTTAAATTTATCATGTTCAAACTAAAAAGAGATCGGCATAGATATACCACAAATTCTTTTTATATTTACATATCTAATATCTATATATATATATAAACTAAATTTTTATACTTATTTAATGTTTAATGTCATAATTACATCAATTTATATGCCTTTTTATATGAATATATATGCGTAAAAAGGCCTTTTGATTTCTTAAAACTAATCTTAGTAATATTAAAATTATAAACGTTATATAAATAGATATTAAAATTTAATTAACTATTACATATATAAATTTATAGGAACTCAATAGTGTAAATAAAAAATATGTCTTCACGAATCTCGAAAAAGTACAACTAATTTAGTTTATGAATACAAATGGACAGTGTATCGAGATAGTCAAAAGATGAAAACACCAATGTTGTTCCCTTCGGTCAGAATTCTTGGCCAACCGAACGGAATCATTGCTGAAAAAAGGAGCCCAATTAGAGGAACAATTTTTCATGACAAGCTCTCTCGCCTGATTTTAGAACTCCTCATAAAATGGCCCAATGGGCCCGGACAGAATGCTTTTTTGATCCACTGAGAATGCTTATTGTCCAAGAAGTGCTAACCTTTAGATTACGATGATGCACGATGATGCACCCCTTGTCAGACTCCCCAATTCACCCTAACGAAGAGAGGGCCACTCGTTAGAATTATCACTTGAGAGGTCGATCGACGATCTTTCGACCGACCAAAGGCTCTAATCGGACCAAGCGACAAAGTTTTAGAGTCATCAGATGCCCCTCTGAAGCGGTTGTGCTTACGAAACAATGCTAAGATCTGTTTTGAGTACGAAATGGTGTCATAATCGATTATGAATATAAAAAGATATCATAATATCTTGTAACGTCCCTATTAAAACAGAAAAAAATATGCAATTTTATATTAAATACCTCAAAAATTTCCAAATAAGAAGTCATTTCTACAATAAAAGACTAATAAATTTACTCCATTAAAACTCTTGCATCTATTTGCACCCTCTCTTTCTCTATTTTTCCCTCGTCCGTCCTAAGTCCTATAACTTGAGTATATATATAATCCTTGATACGATGCCAACAAAATTTCATCATCGGCGTGAATCTCGAGGCAATATTTTGAGTAAGAAATGTTCAAATCTTGATAAAAAGTCATTCAGAACTCCGATTTCAACAAACTTATCGACAAACTGACCTGCTCAATGAAACTGATCCAATGATATAAAAACTAGTCCAATCCGAGTCAAATAAAGTCCATATCAAGTGATTAAATCATTCTTGAAAGATTTCCGGAGACATTTGGAAGATCAAACGATTGTCAAATTCAGCGAGTTCATAGTCGAATCGAGCGTTTCAACAAGATAAATCTAACGAGCCAAAGATTGCCCAATTTCGACATCGTTAAGGCACGCAAATGTTTATCAAATGACATCTGATCTTTCGACATCGTTAAGGCACTCAAATGTTTATCAAATGACATCTGATTGATGGAAGCTCTCCAGACCGTCAGATCAAAATGATTCATATTCTTTCATTAATTGCACTCAGAACACTATAAATAGACGTCGACTACTACTAATCGACGACAACCACCGCCGACCTCTGTCGACCACCGCCGAACAACGCTGATAGCCGCCAATCACCGCTGACCTCTGTCAACCACCACCGTCAGTCGACAACCACCGCTGACCTCTGTCGACCACCGTTGGTCGTCGTCGGTCCTCGTTGACCTCCGTTGAACAGCCGACCTCCGTCAACCACCGCTGACTAGACGTCGTCAGTCGCTATTATAACTCGGAAAGCTAGTAACCCTTTCCCGCTTGTGAAACAATGAGCATCTGTAATCATCAACTTATAGTGAATTTTTACAACTGGGTTAGACCCCGTCGTTTTTTCCTTTTACGGGTTTTCCACATAAAAACTTCTGGTGTTATCACAGCTTGATTCATTTTTATCTGAGTGTGTGTTGAATTCTCGCGCAACGCTAAGGCGATAATTCATTACTCTACCGCCGCGAATTTTCTAGCACACATCAATCCCCAATGAGTTAATATTAATTGTATTTTCGATGTGATTAAAGCATTTAATGTTATATTATTATATAACTAAATATTCAAATTTTGTGTTAAATATGTTAGAAACATAAAAATGGGACCCCCTCTTGAGCTACTGCATGATGATGGTTCTTGCTTCCACGAGCAGACGCCGATACGGCTTCGTCGCACCGCCGCCGCATTTGTTCATCGATCACCGATGAGAATAAGCTCAAGACGCTTAACCAGAGAAATCGAGGACCAACTCTATGCCCACTTAACAAAATGCACTAGCATCAAACACCTGAACAAGATCCACGCTCAAATCCTCGTCTCCTTCCTCTCCCAAAGCAGCTTCCTCTCAACCCAAATCATCAACATCTGCACCACCAATGGCAGAATCGATTACGCCTATCAGGTCTTCAACCAAGTTCTCGACCCCAACATCTTCCTTTACAACGCCATGATCAAAGCCTGCACCCAAAACCTCCGCTTCCTCGAGGCCGTCGACCTCTACAGGCAAATCCTCCGTCGCTCAAAATCCGGGGATAGGTTTACTTATCCTTTCGTTCTCAAAGCCTGCGCTGGGCTTCTTAATAATCTGCTCGGGAAGCAGATTCATGTCCGAACAATCATTTCCGGTCTCAATTCCAATCCTTTTGTCAGCAATTCTCTTATAGAGATGTACGCTAAGGTGGACGATTTGATTCACGCGCATAAGGTGCTCGACGAAATGCCTCTGAAAGACCCGGTTACCTGGAATACTCTCATAAGCAGTCATTCAAGATTAGGGCAGATGAAGAAAGCCATGGCCATCTTCAATTCCATGCCGAATAGAACTCTAATCTCTTGGACTGCAATAATATCGGGTTACTCCATGGCTGGTCGTTATTCGGAAGCAGTTGAGACCTTTCGCCGGATGCAAATCGAAGGATTCGAGCCTGACGAAGTGAGCATCATCTCCGTTCTTGCCGCCATTTGTGATCTTGAGCTTGGAAAATGGATTCAGGTCTACGCAGAAAAACATGGGTTTCTGCAAAAAACTATTGTCTGCAATGCCCTGATTGAAATGTACTGTAGGTTTGGCTGCATTAACCAAGCTCTGCAGATTTTCAGAAAAACTACTGAAAGAGACGTCATTTCCTGGAGCACAATGGTTTTGGGACTGGCGATGAATGGAAGAGAAGAAGAAGCTGTGAAGCTGTTTGTAGAAATGGAGGAAGAAGGCAGAGTAAGACCAAACGGTGTGACTTTTCTGGGACTGTTAACTGGTTGTGCTCATACTGGGTTGGTGCAACAAGGACTCCAGTATTTAAGCTCAATGAAAGAGATTTATGGAATCGAACCTGGAGTCGAGCATTATGGTTGTATCGTTGATCTTCTGAGTCGATCAGGGTGCATCCGTTTGGCCACCGAGTTCATCGGTAACATGCCAATTATGCCGGATGCAGCTATCTGGGGGTCACTGCTCAGTGGTTGTAGAGCTCATGGCAACCTGGAGGTGGCTGCAATGGCGATGGAGGAGTTGGTGAGGCTGGAACCAGATGACTTGGGGAACTATGTGCTTTTATCAAACATATATGCTGGGGAGAAAAGGTGGGAAGATGTGGGGAAGATGAGGAGATTAATGAGGAGCAGGAGGTTGAAGAAAGAGCCTGGTTGCAGCTCCATTGAAATTGAGAATGGAGTTGAAGAGTTCATGGCTGGAGATGAGAGACATCTAAGAAATGTTGAGATGGCTGATATGCTGCAGGTTTTAGCCATGGCTGCCGGGAAATCTGGAGATTTGAGCAGCTTGGAAGATGAGGAAGATGACACTGATTCTCTTGAGGTATGTTGTTTTGGTTAAGTTTTTAATGTAATGAAAATAACATGACTGGTAGAGTTTGCAGAACCCAACGCAAGGAATTTACATACTTAGCACATGATTCTTATGTATTCACATATCTCACACCAAAACTTCCATATTTACATACATAGTACTTTGGCATTTTAAACCTATGCATGAAAAGGTGTATTTTATTTCAGAAAAAAAAATGAAAAAGAAATTTATATTTGACTTTTAAATCCGAGAACTGTCATCTGATCTTGACAAAAAATGCCGTGGCTTTCAACAAATTAATGAAATTTCAAGAAAAGTGCTTGTTTTTCATTTGCTTCTTTAGGTTGGAGGGAGTACGATGTTAATATAAAGGAGATTCAAATGTAGGATCTTGACAATAATTTATGATAGGAAGATTTACATGCATAACACTCAATTCCTAGGTTTTTACATATCTGGTTAATATGATAATACTTTTGAAGTGGTAAGGAAGATTTAGGTGATATAAATGCAATGTAAAGTTTAGGTGTTGGATATGTGAATATATTAGAATTGGGTGGGATGTATGTAAATGATCCTTTATAATATCTTTACCAGCTGAACTAATTGATAGGCAGGGGTGTGGGGAGAATGATGAGCGACAATTATACAAATTTGATGTTGAACCTTAGCAGTAATTTACAACAGCTTTATCTACTTGAACTAATTGACAGACATTATTCTATAGTTTCATAAGATGTAAGTAACTAAACTAAACAAGGGACAACGTTCTTCTTAGCCTATGTCTAGGTCATAAGAAGAGTTTGAGACCATACTACGGTTAAGCAGGACTTAACCTTGCAATATTTTTCAGGACTCTTCATTCTAAGAGGTGTATGTATAGCTAAGGCTCCTCTTAATACAAGAAATCTTCCTGAAATTCTTTATACTTACAGGCGTGGGTGTACACATGTCTGGCGCGGCACGTGTGTTCTGATAGAACCAGACGCTAGTGCACTCGTGTCAGTAGTAGGCGCACTATTTTCTCGTGGAAGCGGGCATGGGTGCACTATGAATTAGGCGCGGGGGTGTTGGACCCTGGTAGATGTTGGGTGTGTTGTCCAAAAAATGTGGGTGCGCCCTGGCATTGGCACGGTTATTCCACCGCTCTGCTCGCAAATGTGTTGTGGGTAGATCCGGCATGAGGGCTCTCCAACTTAGGCGCAAGTGTGCTATGGCACTGGAAGTCAATGTGGATGTGCTTGGCAACAATGCGGGTGCGCCCTCTTGAGCCTTGGTGCGGATGTGCTCCAACTCTTACTCAGGTGCGCTAGCTTAGTTTTTTACCATTTAGCTCCCCAATTTGCCTATTTCTCTTTCCCAAGTGGTTTAAGTCTTGGAACCTGCACACCACTACAAAATACCTTTCCCAATTGTCACATGATCCTAAAATATGCAGTAAAACAAAAATTAACATACTAGAAAGTTGCACATATTTATCCACATCAATTCTTGAGAATTGCATGTTGAAGTTGATATTTTAACTTTCCATCTTATGTTGCACTCCAAATTGACTATTTGAATTGTTAAAATAGCTTGTAATTTAGGTTTATCAGAAGAATATTAGAATCACAACTAAGTTAATACACAAACACTTTGTGGAATAGGAATGTTACTTAGAGGTGTTTGTAATCATTTAGGGAAATAGGGATTTCTATGAGTCTTTGCATAATTAAGGAAACTTGGCCATAATATAAGACTTCAGTATCTTTTATGTCTTGGAAGAGAATACTAAGTGTTCCCAATCGTCAACTAGTTTATGAAAAATCTAGTGGAGGATCGTTGAACTATTACATAAAATTCAAGGAATTTTATTAATATTAGCAACACACGGACCCTTAGTTTAGTCATTTTAAAAATAGTACTTTTAGAAAACTCTTCAAAATTTTAATGATTTGAATTAAACTAAGAATTAGTATGCTCATATTTAAGCTATTTTTAGAATTAACACGTTATTCGTGGGAACAATAACTCATACTTAAAAATCTGAATATTACTTGATCAACATACTAATTATTTTTATTTTTAACTAAGTTATGATTCTAAAGTCTTTGTTGTATAACATATACCTGTTTATATGAATTTTGAGAAAATCCAACGAACAAAAAATATATGAGTATAGCCCATCTACAGAAGACCTAGGGCTCAGAGACGGACAACTAAGGGCCCATAGATGGAAGATCAAAAGTCCATCAACTAAATACTATGTGTCCACTATCAAAATATCGAAGGACCTGTTTGATAAGGCGCTACCTCCTTAAGGTGGGTTTGAAAGAAGTCCGAACGAAATACTAGAGTCTAACGAGCCAAGCGGGGAGGCATCAACCTATCTCTCATCGTAACTCGATTCAAAGGAAGAATACAACATCCACAACTATTCTATGGACGCCCTTGAAATTTTTCATTAGGTGCTGAGAACTAACCATCACATAACCATACAAATCATCCTCAAAGGATCACATATTCACATCGTCCATCGTCGAGAAGTAAGTTACCTGTGAGATTACAATGATTCACCATCTATTTGATAGTTTATCATTGTTATGATGACGGGAGTTTCTTATCCAATGATCAATAGTCGACAATCAAACTAACATAGGCGACCGACAAAACTAAGTCGATTGAGTCATGCCTCGCCGACTCGAATAACATCAAAGGTTGATTGACAAACTTGATTCGGCGAAGGCGAACGAGCAGGTATGGCCGAACCAGAACCAACTAAATTTAGCCGACCGAGTCATAGGGTGGCTGAACCAAAATCTCATATATGTAAAATACCTAAAATATATTATAACCCCTCCATTAAATCAGGGGCAAATATATACCTTCATATATTGTATCTACATTTCTTATAAACAGAGAGATCATTTTTTCAGAAATGACTAATCAACAATTCAAATTATTACCATGCACTTCCTTTTTTGCCCCCCCCCTCTCATATTTTAAGCTCTATTCCTTAGGTGAGATTCACTGGAAAATCAGAATTCAACAGTCTCTTCTTTATTTTAAGCCCTTCATTTTTGTTTTTCAACATAGTTTTTATAAACTATTTTTCATTTTTTTTAGAAAAATTTAAATTCAATTTTTATAAAATCCAATAAACAAATTAGTTTTTTTCAAAAACAAATTGGTGATTTGTTTATATGGGATAATTTTGCGCTCAAAATATTATTATTTACAAATCTAGTCTTTTCTTTCAACCATTTTCGTCATAAATATCAGAACTCGTGATAAAATGAATATTATTGTCACATGATTGGCATATGTTACTCAATTATCATGTATTTATATATCAAATATTTAAATTTTAATTTTTTACATATATGTCATTTTCCTTATCCATGAATTAAAGGGAAAATCATGTCATGTTTCTAGAATTTATAATTTTCTATATAAATAATAAAATTTAATATTTTTATTTGATTTAAGCCATAAGATTACTTGTAAAAAAAATATGTTCAATTTAAAAAATAATTATATATTTATAATATTTTTCATTATTTTTTAAGGAGTTATTTTCTCTATTATAGCTTTATAATCAACTTTTCAGAAAGCTATAAACATGGGTTTATTATTCGGGGTCTGTTTGTTGATTTAACCAGCTTTATTTTTCAAGTGGTCCAAAACTAAACTATAGTTAAACCAGCAAAACCTTGAATAGAAAAAAGGCTTTGCATCAGCCACAACAAATATAAGCAATCAAATTGAAGCAATTATCTATTAAAATTTATAAACATTAAATATGATTCCATCATTGAATGCTTTAGGGTCCGTTTGGGGTCGCAGTGCTTTGGTTGTGCGACACCACACCACAGTTTTGTCTGTCTGGGTAAACTGCGTTTTAACAGCTTTTTCAAAAAGCTGATGCTGAAATCTGATGTTTCCCGCCAGTCCTGACTAGGGGTGGTGGCAGTTTTCGAATTGCGGTCTAAAAATTTAAAATTGTAATTGCTACCGCAGTTTTTTTTAACATCAAATTATTTTTCAACAGCTTCACAACTGTTTTTAAATAAACTGCACCTGCCCCCAAACAGTCCCTTAATCCTGTTTAAAAAGCTCAACTTGACCTTACACACCCACACGACTTTTAACATCAAATTATTTTTCAACAGCTTCACAACTATTTTTAAATAAACTACACCTGCCCCCCCAAACAGTCCCTTAATCCTGTTTAAAAAGCTTAACTTGACCTTACACACCCACACGACTCAAACTCGACTCAAAAAATTCGGATTAGGGTTAACCCAATTATTTTTCGAGTAGGATTCGGGTCTAAAAATTTGACATGTAAAAATTTTAGGACAACATTAGGTTGAACATGAAAGACGTGAATAAATACGAAAAAATTGATTGTACTCTTAATTCTTATATTATTGCTTATGCTCGACTCAAAAAATTCGGATTAGGGTTAACCCAATTATTTTTCGAGTAGGGTTCGGGTCTAAAAATTTGACATGTAAAAATTTTAGGACAGCATTAGGTTGAACATGAAAAACGTGAATAAATACGAAAAAATTGATTGTATTCTTAATTCTTATATTATTGCTTATCATATATAAACAGAAGATTTTGTTTTTTTAAATCGTCTATCATTGCTTTTTAAATATTAGAAATATAATTTATTATTAAAATTTAAGCTAGTAGGTTAAACAAGTCTTTTTCAGGTCAATCGTGTATACGTTGAGTTAGTTTTGGATCGAGTTTTCTAACCCATTTAGTATTAGAGTTGGGTTCAGATTGATCTAATTCGGGTCAGATCATTTTTTAAATCTGACCCGAATTCCACCTAAAAATGATCTGACCCGAATTCCACCTACCGACACGAATTGAAATCTCACTCTCTTTTAACTTAATTTCGATAACCTCCTCCACTTCCATATAAACAAACGCTTCAAATCTTAATTAGTCTCCAGTAACATGCAGTAAATGATAATTAAATCCGCCATTAACTGATACGTGTCACTGTCAGATGAACTAAGCAAGCCGCAGCTTCTCTGAGCGAAAAAAGCTGTGAGAACTGCTAACCCCTATTTGATTAATCACAGAGTGCCATCAAGCCAGCTGTCATCCCCTTCCCCCCTTTCCTCTCTAGGAGGAGAGGGGATTCGCTCCACTGATTTCATCTTCAAAATCCATTTTTGGGGCGAGCACATCAGTTGAAACCCTGCAAAATCCCATCTTGCTGGCGAAATCGATTTCATTTCTGTTAATTCTCTCCGCATTGCGGTCACTGAAGCAAAGGGGATTAGGAGGATGACGAAGGTTAGCAGCTCTCCTAATCTCAGCGACGATCTCTCAAAGCGGACTGTTATCTTCGGCCTCCATCTGTGGGTGATCATCGGAATCTGCGTCGGCGCGGCCTTCGTCCTCCTCCTCTTCCTCATCTCACTCTGGTTAGCCTCTCGACGCACTTCATCCAGCTCGAAACTCCCAATCCCTACGGTCTCCAAAGAAATCCTTGAAGTCTCCACTGTCCCCTCCGATCCAAAATCCTTAGCACAAATCCTGCAAAAACCTCTTTCTGAATCTAATCGCTCCCCTGTTTCAGTGGAGAAGCAGGCACTTCTTCTGTCAAGGGAAGAAGATTGCCCGGCTGGAATCAATAGAATCCATATTGAGATCGGTAAAGACCATAGAATCACTTATCCGGAGTGCGGCGGCGGAGAGAACCGGTCCGGCGAGCAGCTTGTCGCCATTGTTGCACCTGAAGTCTCGCATTTAGGATGGGGGCATTGGTTCACTCTCCGGGAGCTCGAGGTGGCCACCAATATGTTCACCGACGAGAATGTTATCGGAGAAGGTGGGTATGGGATCGTCTACCATGGAGTTTTGACTGATAACACTCACATCGCAGTGAAGAATTTGCTCAACAATCGGTATTTGTAATTTACTTAAAAATCACAGTTTTCTTTTTCTGATTCGAGTAATGAAAAAAATGTGTCATCTTTGTTGTTTGCAGCGGGCAAGCTGAGAGGGAATTCAAGGTAGAAGTTGAAGCCATTGGTAGGGTTCGGCATAAGAATTTGGTGAGACTGCTAGGCTATTGTGCTGAAGGTGCTCACAGGATGCTTGTATATGAATATGTGGATAATGGAAACTTAGAACAATGGCTTCATGGCGATGTTGGACCTATCAGTCCTCTTACATGGGAGATTAGAATGGAGATTATACTCGGAACTGCTAAAGGGTAAGTACAATATTATTTAACAATGAAATATGTTTAGGAAACTTCTTAGGAAGAATTAAGCCGAACTCTTAAACATCGAGGTATCTTTTTGTGTGGGAGCACTCCTGGAATTGATGACCTTTTAGGAAGTTACACCAAGGGGGACAAAACCATGTGGTTATTAGGCCAATGTGGAAGATAACTTGATGGACGAGCGTTTGGGATATTACACATTGTACCAGAGCATTATACGAGCTTAAAAATGAGAATTAAGTGTTATATAGAATAAGATGCTATGCCATGGGAGTCACCTCTTGAACCCTAGATGGGACAAAGTGCTACATGGTGAGAGCCACCTCTTGAATATGTAGGAAACACCTCTAAAATCTTATGTTTGGTTGATGATTATGTGCTAAGAGCACAGATGAGGATGTTAGTAGCTCAAGTGGGGGAGATAGTGAAACCTTAAGTAAAATAAAGCTGAACTCTCAAACATCGAAGCATCTTTTGGTATAACAATTGGAAGTTCATTAAAAATTCCAAAATTAAGTGTGCTTGTGCAAGAGCACTTTTGAGTGACCTCCTGGGGAGTTACACCTATAAACAAAACTGTGAGACCCTTAGGCCAAAACATGCAATATTTTGATGGATGAGAGTTCATGCTATTATAGAGTCATTATACTGAGTATTACCACTTGGCTAACATAATTGCAGGCTAATGTATTTGCATGAAGGATTAGAACCAAAAGTAGTTCATCGTGATGTTAAATCTAGTAATATCCTACTGGATAAGCAGTGGAATCCCAAAGTTTCTGATTTTGGGCTCGCTAAGCTTTTGGGATCAGAGAGGAGTTATGTCACAACTCGTGTGATGGGAACTTTTGGGTTAGTTCATATTTTCTTAAGACTTTGTTTATTCAATGTTATCTTGGGAAATTTACTTATCTAGTGCATAATTCTTATGTATTTTCATATCTTATTCTTAAACTTCCATATTTACATACATAGCACTTAGGTGCTTTAAACCTATGCATGAAATGGTATATTTCACTTTTAAAAAATTGTAATAGTGCTATTTTTCATGTGATATTAAAAATTTAAGTGTTGTGTGTAAATATTAATTTTTAGGTGTGAGATATGGAAATACATTAGATTTACAATCTTATAAAAATTTGTGTATATTCAGATTTAATGTTTAGTTGTTTCCATTCCATGTCATTTTAATGCTGCTTCTGCATCCTAAACTTTCATATTTACATATTTAAATACTTCGGTGCTTTAAACCTATGCATGAAAATATGTATTTAATTTTTAAATAGTGGAAATAGGGCTATTTTTTATGTGATATTTAAGATTTGAGTGCTTTGTGTATAAATATGAAAGTTTCGGCGTGAGATATGTAAATACATTAGATTGGAGTGCCTATAATCTTACATAAATGTGTGTATATTCATGTATAATATCTTGTTTTTGGCATTCTATGTAATAGATATGTTGCTCCTGAATATGCAAGCACGGGAATGTTGAATGAAAGGAGTGATGTTTACAGCTTTGGCATTCTGATAATGGAGATAATTTCCGGTCGAAACCCTGTCGACTACAGCAGGCCTCAAGGAGAGGTAAGTATATGATGGATTAAATGGCCATGAAGTTTATATTATGAGTTAAATTTGTATGTTATTCAAAGCTGCTGGATTTTTTCAGGTTAATCTGGTTGACTGGCTTAAGATGATGGTTAGCAGCAGGAAGTCTGAAGCTGTCTTGGATCCCAAGGTGGCTGAGAAACCTTCTTCTAGAGCGTTGAAAAGAGCTCTCTTAGTGGCGTTGAGATGTGTTGATCCAGATGCACAAAAGAGACCGAAAATGGGTCATGTTATACACATGCTTGAAGTTGATGATTTCCCTTACAGAGATGTAAGTTGTAACTCTGTTAATTTTAATATTTTGGGGAACTCACATACATACCGCACAATTCTTATGCATTTCCATATCTAACACATAAAATTTCATATTTACATTTATAGCACTTTGGTGTCTGAATTTCACTTCTTAAAAAGTAGGTGATAATGATATTTTTTTACACGTGAAATTAAAGATTTGTGTGCTATGCATGTCAATATGATATGTTAATATATAAGAATTGTGTGGAATGTATGTAAATGCTTCTTTATTTTTTTCCTTATTATTTGTTAGGGAAGGCAATGAGAAGATATGATATTATTTGAACCTTCTACTGCTTAACTGGTAAAGAAAATTAGGATTTAAATTATCGGAGACAATGAATATTCGAAAAAGCAGGAGTTAAAGCTTAGTTGCAAGAGAGAATTTAAACATTAAGATTTCATATCACACATAATTAACTTTCTTTTTTCGTAGGGGGGATTTACATACATAGCATGTATAATATTGGGATTTACATATTTAACATTTGAATTTCACTCTTTACTAATATATTACATTCAAAACATCAAAATAAAATAAATATAGCATCCACCCTAACCGATTTCTTCATTGGGTCGCCTAATTTCGATTGCATCTGAAAGCTGACATTTCTAGCAAATGTGCGATGGGCACTTAATCGTAGTCATCCTTCTTCTGTCCAGTGAGTGTCCAACGAGCGACTGATACTAGTTGGCTTCTTTCGTCGGGCGCTTAGCTAATGTAAATAGCAAATGTTAGGCATTAAATATGTAAATCTTAATATTTTGAGTGCTTTGCATGTAAATAGCAAATTGTGGAGGGTGAGAGCCATTAAAACCTCTCTTGAGTGCACCACTCTTACCTGAGTCCTGGAGTGATGCCATGAGATCATTTTCTTCTACTCATGGAATTTCGTAAGCTCTTTGGGGAGTATGTTGGACGATAATCTCCATCAATGTTTGGGGTATCTAACACCTAAATTTTGCTTTTTACATCTATACCGCCTTGATCATTTATATCACCCAGAAAATATCACCTGCATATATATATTAGTTAAAATTTTGGTGTTATGGCATTATCTTAAACGCTTTATTTAAGTAAATCTTTCTAAATGTTTTTTTATGGCATTATTTTTGTTATCTTGAACGCATTAGATATCTCGGGTCTATTGTTCAAAGTGATGGTGATATAGATAGGAATGTTATTAGTAAACTTCAAGTTGGTTGGTTTAAAGTGGAGGAATGCATTAGACTTATTGTGTGATAGAAAAATACCGCTTAGACTGAAAGGAAAATTTTATAAGATGGTGGTGAGACCTGCAATGCTTTGTGGTGCAGATTGTTGACCTTTAAAAGGGTAGCATAAAACAAAGTTAAGTATTGTTGAGATTAGAATGCTTAGGTGAATGAGTGACTTAACACTTAGAGACAAAATGTCAAATGAGAATATCGTGATAGGGTTGGCGTAGATCAAGTGGTGGACAAGATTACAGAGAGTTATCTTAGATGGTTTGGTCACATTAAACCTCTGTCATCTGATGGTCCTGCTAGGAGAGTAGATGTGTTAGATTTGTCATATGTTAAGAATGGCGGAGATAGACCTAAAAAGATTTGGACATATTGTATAAAAAAATGATCTTAATCTATTAGAATTAGATGAAAATATGACTCTCAATAGGACGCAGTGGAATAAAAAGGATTCATATATCCGACCCCACTTAGTGGGATAAAGGCTTGTTGTTATTGTTTTTGTAGTTGTTGTTGTTCTATCTTTGTTTCCTTCCTTTTGCAAACTAGATATTAAATTGATGCTCTTTATTTAATCAGTTTTGTTCTTTTTTTTCGATAAAATTCAGGATCGCCGTGGCCGGCGAGTTTGTAGAGATCCTCAAGAGAAAGCAGGTTTAATTGAAGATTTAGTGGCTGAATCAAGTGATGGGGGTAAGCTTCAGAGTACTCCTCATGTAGATAAACCTCAATAAAGGATAAATTATGGAGAATAAATTTTTTATCTGTATATTTAAAACTGTGTTTAAGGTTCCTAATTATGGTTTTATTGCTTGATTACTTCTGTGATGAATCAGTATTCTAAAATTGTAGTTTTAGCATCACATCAACTCTGACGGTTTCAAGTTGCTCATATCCCAACTATAAATGTAGTTTTGTAGAGCTGTTCTTGTAGAGCTGTTCTTAAGCTCAGTTCAATTTGGATCTAACATATTGGAAATCTTCATGTTAAATCCCTCCCTTTTTTGGAGAAATATAAATCTCTCTTTTTTGCTCCATAAAAACATATATGCATTTGCATATATACAACACAACTTTTATGTATTTACCTATCTAAAACCTAAACTTCCATATTTACATGCATGACCCTCATTTTTAGCATCATGTCAAAAAAAGTACTATTATTTCTTAAAGTAAAACACATTTTCATGCTTAACTTCATGACTCCAAAATGTTATAAATATATATGAAGTATGTTGATACATAAAAATTTTGTGGTATGTAAATTTGCCATCTTTGTTGTTTTTTGTTGGAAGTTTAGTGCAGTCATTAGTTTCATGCAAGTTTGGATCTCAGGATCTATCTACAATAATTTAAGATATCTCTACAATTAACTGCCACTTATGCACTTGTATTTTGGTTTTTTAGTGTAATGAAAGGTTTTTTTTAGACTGAGAGAGGATTAAAAACAAAATGTGTATGTCATATGTTATCATATAAAATTTTTCTCAGATTTAGCAGATGAAGACACTCAATCTCTGACTTTCACCACAATCTGTGAAGGTTTTGTTTTCTATCTTTAAGTTAGAGATTTGGGCACACCAACATATTATTTATAGTATTTATGATTAAATTATCTATGATAATAATAATAATAATAATAATATCATTACTTATCCAACAGTAGGAGCTTGGTGTGCTAGAGATCCCACTTGCTCTAGTGATTGGACTGTGGATACCATTAGAATTTTTTTATAGATATAACAGTGGAGGTAGCATCACATGGCATTCATGACAGCAAAGACTTGCTGCAGGAGGTTGGAGTTTTTTTTTTGTTTATGATAAGAATCCGTACAGCTGGAAACAATGGTGTGGCATTCTTTGATAGACAATGGACCCCTCGTCCATTAGTGAACTTTAGCTCTCTGCTAGCTTGTGGAAGATGATGGTCGATAACTGTTTATTTCAGCAGGCGACGCGTGGCTTTGTGCTATTTGAGTAGTTCTGTTGTTCTTGTGCTTTGGAATTGGCTGGAAGGAGATAAAAATGTCACTTTGTTCTTTTTGTTTTTTTCTTTCGTTTGATCAGATGATCAGTACATAGCTTAAAAAAATAAGCCTCCTCTATGAGGTAACAAAGCAACTACTATTGAAGACACCATCGCCGAAATTGTGACTGCCCCGCTGGCCGGCCCCTCGGACCGGCCAGACTGTGCCGGCTGACCACTCGGCTGGCTACACTCTACTGGTGGACCACCTGGCCAGTCAACTTGGGCTGATCGGCCACCCGGCCGGCCCCCCTAAACCGACGAGCCACTCGGTCGATCACCCTTTGTCGGACGACCACCCGCTCGAACCACATTGAACTGACCGGCCACTCAGGTGGTCACCCTCTGTTGGCTGACCATCCTGTCGATCACCTTGAACCAATCGATCGATCACTCGACGGACCATCTGGAGATTGAACCGACCAACCACCTGGAGTTAATCTAGCCAGCCACTTGGCGGTTCAAAGCAATGATCGCTCAAAGCACCAGCCATAGTAAAGGTAGACGACGAGCAGCCTTGAGTCGGCCACCCGATGCCAACAAGTCCATTAGGGGAAAAACTGGAGTGCCCCTCGTGGCTTACCTTTAAACAAGGGCACATATGTAATTTCCTCTCCCCTTCTCTACTCTCAATAAATAGAAGAGAGTCACTTGCTAGAAAGTAACTGCTACCTGATTCAGTCTATCCCGGAAGTGAGTGCCAGAATGATTGGGATCTAGACTAGACAGTGCATCCAATCAGGTTCCGGAAGCTACTCATTCTTTCCTTGACTGCTATCCGAATAGACTGGAATTGTAAATATCTCTTACCGGGGAACTGAAAGTCTTGACCATACCTTCTATAAGCTAGGCCTGTCACCCCTTGGATGTAAAAAGGGGTCTCTTTAGCCTCTCTTTTTTCCCCTAAGTAGGGAGCTTGCTCCCCTTCTCCCTCACTTGTTACCTAGACGTGTGGAATAAAAGAGGCCGCCGTGCTCGAGGTCCACCCAAATTTGGTCCCTGATAGGGCAACCTTATTTCTCTCTCTCCCTCTCCCTCTCCTTCTTCTGCTCCGGAATCTGGCTCTATTTTTTGGGCACGGTCCAGGGCACAGATTTGGATTCAACATTCTAAAAAGTACGATAAGCATGAAACATGCCACCAACAAAATGAGGCCTACCTGGTTCAGAACAACCAAGACAAAAAACAAGAAATCAAAAATAAAAAGAAAAAGAATAGTGACATAAAGTGACAAAATGGTGGATTTGACAAGTCAAAAAGTAAAAAGCAAAAAACTGGTAGGACATAAAACCGGAGAAAAGACCAAAAAAATAACTCATGTCATTCCAAGAAGGAAAAGATCCGTATAGAAGTAGGGGAAGGAAGATAAACACATACTCTCTTTACTTTGTTTATTCTTTGTTCCTTAAGGAAGAAAGAAAATGGTAAATGCAAGGAAAATAAATAAATTATAAGAAAATGAAGAGAAAATAATATTAAAATATATTTCTCCCTTCTCACTTAAGCCTATTTTTTTGGAAAACACTCCAAACAAAACAAAAATATTTTCTATTCAAGGCTCTCCTCTGCGACGAGGAAAATAACATTTTCTAAGCCTCACCTTTGGGACGAACAAGTAAGATCTATATCTATCATTTAAGCCTCTCATCCGTGACGAGCATTTCGAGTATCTATCTCTTGACTTGAGTCTCTCCTTCGGGATGAACAAACAAAGCTTTTTCTCCCCTGCAAAAACCTCCAAAAACTCATTCTCAAAACTCAAGTTGGAAAAATCCATGGAGGCAGTTCTCTACCCCATAGCGACAAATTCATAAGGGGTAAGACACAAATCATCCCACTAGCATGTCTTGTCGGTTACCCCTGCAAAGGTCACGACAATACCGCCTAAGATTTGGCGTAAGGTGAGGCCCGCCGGAGGCGATGTTCTGACAAAGGTAAGGAAGATAGGTAAGAAACAAGCTTTAGTTGGGTATTTTTCAATCCAAAAATCTAAGCTTCATTATAATGACTTAAACTCTAACAAATGGTTACTTCTTTAAAAGACTTATTCACTAAATAAATAACAAGGAGATTGTTTAAAAAAATTAGGGTTTATGGAATGATGCTTTTGAGACTAATGAGTTTGTTTCTGTTTATTTTTTATTTTTATTTTTATTTCTGAAGGAGTTGTCAACTTGTCTATCTTCGTATAATTCCATTTTTTGAATAAGTCTCTCTTTCAGATCACAAGAATGATCTAAAGAAGAAAAAAGCCTGAAATGTAGTGACATACTGATCCCAAAACTGTTTATATGCAACAATATAATAATAATTCTGATTATACTTTTTACTTATATTTCTTTATTTTGTAACAAATCAAAAACTTGATCTTGAAGAAAAATAAGAATTTAACTTTTAATTTATATATATTGAGATACTATGCAAGTATATGTATCATTATCAAGTAATATAAAACTTTTTGATTAAGACCTGAATATCGAACCCATATGGAAGATATGCAATATGCACTTTTTAGAAAACTTTCTATTTTTAAAAAGATAATTATTTAAACTAAAGAAAAGACGTATTCGCAGTAAAAAAAGTTTAAATATTTTTGGTCATTTTAATATTTTGACAAAAACAAAACAAGTTTTTGTTCTACAACTCGAGTTTTTGTAGAACAAAAACACTAAATATGAAAATATCTTTCTTCTTATCATGAATCAGTAATAAATATAGGAATTCTGTTGTGGAAGTATGCATATTGTGTTGTGCCAAATAAGAGCAATAATATTATTTACCCTTACTAGAGATGCTATAAAGAACATTGACTAATTTAAAGTTTGAATAGTTTTGAAGACTAGCTAGGCATGGAAGATACTAGATCTGACTCTAGAGTTCCCTCGATTCCCTTCACTTGGGGGCTAACATCTCGTATCAGAACCTAAAATAATAAACCAAGTTGGGGGCTTTAACATGTTACTTTAAAGTCCTCTAACTCTACACCCTTCAATGAATATTTCCCTATTTATTTTCACTCAATCATATGAACTACATTCTTATTTATACAACCTCATGTGATTCTTTCCAATTGTTGACTGAGACAATACCATCCCAGTTCTTACATGTTCTCACAACAAATTTTAACA